TGATCAGTGCCTCGGTTTCCGCTCGTCATAGAAAGTTGTGAATGAAATAACTGTCGCTCTACAGTTCTTTCGACACAATACGCAATTCACCACTTTCCTACTGCGGCCTCACGCATACGAGCCTAGCATGGTTGAAAAACTCGCAACCGGGAAGAAGCCCGGGAGCCACTTTGCTCATGTCCACACCAAGGACTCGGTGTAGTGTGTCTCGTAGAAGTCGCAGATAAAGAATGATGCCAATGTCACGAAAAGCTTCGAGGATATAAGCCATAACCGCTCCGATCATCCTCGCCAATGAGGGCAAAGCCATCTGAAAATCGTTCTTAATCATATTGGCCGAATTTTCGAAGCTCAACCAAGAAGTCTGCACGACTGTACAACACACCACATCGCCTTTACACATCCGCCATGGATCGCTATCCGTGTATTAACAGATACAAGTACACCGTCAACTGCCCGTCTTGGGTCTGGGTATATCGTACTCGTTGCGAAAACTGCGTTCTGGTAAGTAATCTACTCCAGACAGCGAGGAATCACGGAAAAGTCTTGACATCGAGTAGCACGATCTCTAGGAACATCGAAGCCCAGTATTTGGTCATGGGGGAAAAGGTCATATGCGGAACAGGCGGTAGCAAAGATCACCCAGGAGTAATACGCGCCGCTTGGCTGATTAAAATGCCAAAAACTACAGACATTAAACCATGGTATCCAACAATAAAGCCTATATCTACATACGTATGGACGAAACTTGTGTACCTTCAGCCGGAGCCTTGAGCATACAAGTGCGCAATGAGCGCTTCCAAGGAGCTAAGGAGCTATGCGTATGCAAGAACCAAGGCACGACTTGACCATACTCCACTGCTGCCTTGCTGCCGCCGCTGATCCGTCTTAAAGGAGTTCTTCCCGTGGAACCGATGAGATACTCGATGTAGCACCGTGCATTAGTCAGTACCTTCAGTCAAGGCTAGACGTATTTTGCCAGCCGCAAGATGGACTTCTACCGGGCCAGACCCTCCGGCAGAGGGTCCAGGAGCAAGGGTATACGCCTCCTCCGCTCATGTAGCCCGTAGAGAAGGCTCAGAGCGAGGTTGAAAACCTTGACATAGGGGGCCTTTACAAGGGGTTAGCAAGCGCACCGCATGGATGTAACGTGGCCATGTGGGTTAGGCCCAGCCGAGCCGTCTCCGTCCCCTGTCTGCATGTCTTGTGATTATTGCTCAACGCTTTGACTCGCGATAAAACGCTTTGCATGTATATCGATGTTTCTCAACAAGTTTGACGACAGCCTGATTAACGCACAAAGCCTTGCTATTCGTCATTGTCTGTGATCGGCACGATTGTCGTAGCTCGCGTTCGGAACGACGTAGACTTGAGAGTTATGCCCCCTTTGGGAAGTCCACAGAGATTTCCTGAAAGCCATCTTCTGAATATGAAGACATTCAGAATTTGCAAGATGCCAGCCTCAAATTGAAACTTTGACCCAAGATGCAAATGGATTCCTAGCAAATGGTCTGAGGGACTTCTTCCCCATGAGTGTACTTGAGACTAAAGAAGACTGATGAAGATTGAATCTAGGGGCCAGAGTTCGAGCAGATAAAGCAGTAATCATGTTTCTGTAAGTACGTACGTTCTGCGGTCTGGGCCTTCGGGCTTCCGACAACCAGGACGGTTGTCAAGCTTACTTGGCGTACCTTATGCTAGTCAACATATCAAGATTATGAAGCACTCAACCTTCCTTTCGTAAGTTTGTTCCAGACTTTGCAATCTCTAACTTCACTGCTACCTATTGAAGGTCTAGATTCTTGCTAGATTTCCGAGCCTTAGTTAGGGGGGTGCTGCCATTCACGTCGAACGGTTTTGCACACTGTGTCCACATACCAAATCTCGTGTATCAACACCCACCCACATTCTTCAAGCCTCCCACACACCATCTTGATATCCACCACCCACCACCTTCACGAACACACATCTTTCTCGTGCACACAAACATGCGCCTTGCTCGCCTCCGTACATACCTCTTCTCGCACATACGCCTTGTTCGCGGATACACACATCTTCGAGGAATTTGACTCGCTCTAGGTCTGCACACCCTCCTGATGTACATAGGCTTTGTTTGCGGGCACACGCCTAGTTCGAATGGGTTCATATCCTCCATGTGAAATTACCTGAGCTGTATGAAGTGACTCCATGACAAAGATTCGGTTAACTGTGAATACATACTCTGTTCGCGGCCATCTCGAGAACGAAATTGCTTCGCCCAGACGTTGTAGGTAGGCAGTGACGAAGAATCGCTTGCGATACTTAAACCATGTTGATTCCAGATGTTCTTGCCGATGGAAATAGAGTCAATTTCAACCGATAACACTTGAAAATCTTCCGAAATCGAACAGTTCCGAACGAAACATTTTACTCAAAGTACCTTACTACCGGCCCATCAACATGGCAGTAACCCAATTGCGCACGTGTAATCCCAGTTTCGACAAATATCCCTGCATGAATAAGTACAAGCCGGGTGTTGACTGTGGAGCGATGGTATGGGTCTACAATTCAAGATGCGAAGACTGCGTCCTAGTGAGTACTTTTCATTTGCAGATAAAATCCTTCAAAAAAGACGAGGTGACAGATTCCTAACACCAAATACATCAGTACAATCGATAAAAGCTTCATGAGCTTGTTAATCGTGTGGACAGCAATATTATCATTCGGCTTTAGAGATCACAATGATGATGAGTTGCGGATTATGAAGGTGATGAGAATGGGTTATTAGCGGTCGGTTCCTCGGTGCAACGTTCAAGGACGCTTAATCGGCCTTTATTGCCTGTCTCTACCGTCTATCAGATAGATGCAGAAAACCACTTAAGAAAAAAAAAAGCATTTCTTACAAGGGAGGCTGCCAGGAATTGATGGGTAAAACGCCATGCTCACCACAATCTCGTTTTAACCGTGCAATCAGTTGGCCCTGTTCATAGTCGTCTGCAAGTAATGCGCGCCACATAGGTCGTGTGAATGACTACATCTGCCTTGAAAATAGGGTCGCCATTTGATCAAATCTCACTCATATCTGTACCGACCTTCAACCGTTGACTTGAGGACCGAAACCTGATGTGACCTCCAAACGAAACGAATAATGTATGTTCACCAGAACCGCCAGTCCGGACGAACTTACAGTAGCATTGGTAGCTCTAGGTTGCCTGAATTACGTGCCGGAAGTTTTGGTATAGGTGAGGTGGTTGGGTCACTCACCTAGGTTGCACGACAGGGTGGCGCCAAAGCTGAACAGGAATCTTTGTTGGCAGCATGGATTAAGATGCTTCAGTGTGTGACCAGTACGGCAAGTTTTCGTACTGTGACAATGGCACGTTGCTCTGTTGGCTCTATGCAAGGCTGACGAAGTGCCTACTTCCAACACTCTCACTTTGCATCAATCTCTTCCTTCCTCCTCCATACCAAACTGTTCAGCGCTTAGCCTTGTCAACCTCTCAAAAATGCTACAACCGAAACCTGCCGAGAGCAGCCAGATGGGGCATGTGAGGCCTACGATAACATCACTTCAAGACCTCACTCTTATCGAAGCCTGGGACAATGATGCGAATGCGCCAAAATATGTCACCTTCTATCACATAACGGACGAAGCGGAACTATGGTTTGGTCAAAGCTTCAAGAACAAGCGAGAGATATCTCTCGAAGAATATCGACATGCACTGGAACTCGTACCCGATGAAGAGATCTATCCCGAAATCCCATCTGGCGCCAAGCTCACCATCGCGCCAGACAATATCGATGATCCAGTGTTTGTCAAACGCCCCGGTCTTAACTGCTACGAGTCGATGAAGGGAACGCCCTACGTGTGGAGATCCGTCCTCGATGAGACCTTAATCATGGAAAAGGTCTCCAAGAATCCACATCCGTATATCATCAAGTACTATGGCTGCCGAACCGCACGCGGCCGCATCACGTCTCTCGTCCTCAAGTCGTACGACTGCACGCTCACCCAGTTTGCCCGGCAGCCAGGTTTCAAAGACCTCGACAAGGAGAAGTTTCTGGACGGCCTGGAGTCAGCAGTGGCCTATGTGCACTCGTTGGGCCTGGCACATAACGACATCAATCCGGACAACATTATGATGGGAGAGGATGGCATGCCCGTTCTCATTGACTTTGGGTCTTGTGCTCCGTACGGGCAAAACCTCCAGTCCTTGGGCACTGATGGTTGGTATGAGGAGGTATTCTTCACGTCAGAGAAGTCACACGATGATTTCGCCATGAAGAAAATGAGAAGTTGGATACAGGATCCGCCAGTATGATGGGAGAAGTCCGTAGCGAAATTCGATGCAGGTTTTCCGGCATTGCTGGTGCTTAAAATGGACCTCCGCGGAATCCGAGAACCACAGGGGTTGAAAGGGAGGCGGATTAGGGAGGATCTTGTCTCCGTTACGTCGCGATGCTACACGTTGTGCTGCTCAGAGATTACTGCCCGCCGATACTGCTCACCTCCATGCGGGAACTCGATACTGGGGGTATTATATATTGCAATGCGCGAACATAAAGGGGCAACTGCATGATAATAAGGGTTGTTAGCAGCGTACTTGAACTTAAATATAGAGAGAAGTTTGCAGACCGAAAAAGACTAGATAGATAAGGGTTGATATTGTGATCCTGAATTGTTGGTGTAGTAGCTATGGTTACGGTATCGAAGATTCGTGATGGCTTTCTCCGGTGAGATACAAGCGGCCCAAATACCGTGCCCAAGGTATCTGCACTTTGCCTTCTTCATGATTGGGCAAGACACCAGAACGCAAGGTTGATGAACATATCCGAAGAAAGGACTCATCCGTATTCGCTGTCTAGGTCCTTCAGGGCCATCCTCGAGCTAAGACCTGAAAGAGGAAAGCAATCAAGGCTAATCACGAAAGACCAAGATTGTAGATCTTTAATCAAAGACCGCCTAGTGTCCTTGTCATAAGCACATCGTCATTGTGACCACCGGGGGGCATCATCCAAGATTGAACATTAATCGTTGCGTATCATTAAACGCTATCTATGCTGAAAGTGATTCTATCATGCTATAGTACTGACACAGATTGTCGCTGAGAGACAACCAAGAAGCTTCCAATCCAGGAGCTAGATACCTCCAAGAAGGAAGCCAGTCAACTGTTGCTCATCACCATCCAGAAGGTCTCGGTGTAGAACCTAAAATTTGTGTCGGACCAGACAAATTCTTTACTCGTTATCCGTAACCTTGATAACAGTAGACTTGAACTGGCGCGCAGGGATCTTGCGGTTGAAGAGAATATCAGCCTCACGGTACGAGCGGTGCTTGAGCTCAGGCAAGAAGAAGAAGGCCATGATCCAGCACACACAAGCGGTACCGCCCCAGACGAAACCGCACTTTCCAGCAACGTTCCAGCCCGTGGGGTTGAGGAGCTGCGAGGCGAGGTAGATCATGGGGATCTCGGCGACGTAGTAGGCGGCGCGACCGACGGCGGTGCTGAGGGCACGGAGGCGGACGGCAGAGGTCTCGGCGATAATGGTGTAGGAGATGGGGCCGAGAGTACCCGCGAAGACGAAAGAGATCAATATTCCCAGAACGGCTTGGGCGTAGTTGGTGGCGCTGTTCTGGGGGATTGAGGCGCAGACACCCAGGAGCATGAGGAAGGTAATGTTGACGGCCGTGCCCCAGAGGTAGATTGTGCGGCGGCCGAACCAGGCGGTCAAGGGCCAGGACAGAGCGTTTGCGACGAACTGGAGGCACGAGTTGATGAGGTTGAGGTTGAAGGCCATGTCGTGGGCCATGCCGGCCTGCTCGAAGAAGAATGTGGCCTGGTTGGCGATGAGGTTACCGGCGAAGTTCTGCGAGGCGTACATCAGGCAGGTAATTGTTGTACGGCGGAGATCGACGCCCTTGAAGAGGTCGAGGAGAGTCGGGGTTCCACCGATGTTGGCCTCGATCTGGACGGTACGCTCGATCATGGCGAGCTTGCGCTGAGCTTGGCCGGCGGTGCCGTGGGTGGGGCCGAGACGCTGGACGGAGCGGAGGGCTTCTTCCTTGCGTCCGCGGCGGATGAGCCACCAAGGGGACTCGGGAGCAAACCAGAGGATTACCATGAGGGGAAGCTGGAGATCGCGTCAGCCTATGGTCATGCGAAGTACACGGGAGATGGGTAAACTCACGGGGAAGATCCACTGGAGAGCGAGGGGCGCGCGCCACGCCCACTCGTCGGTACGGCTGTTGAAGCCAAGAGTTGCGCCGGCGACGATGATGGAACCGATGGACCAAGACATCTGCAGAGTGGCCGTGCAGGCACCACGCAGGGCAAGGGGGACAATCTCAGAGGCGTAAGCGGGGCCGATGGCGATGAAGAAACCCCAGGGAACACCCTCGAATGCCTGTCCGATGGTGAGGACCTCAAGCGAGTTGGCCTAAATTAGGGTCAGTACATATTCTGATGCGTAACACTGCGATCGGGATTGCCTACAAAGAAGGAGATGAAAATGGTGGCGTTCATCATGACCAAGGCAACCATGGTAGCCAGGCGATATCCGAGCTTGTTGACGACCGGGCCGGCGAGGAAGACACCAACGAAGGCACCACACTGGCCGGCCTGGAAGAGGGCGGACTGCCACTTTGTCTCAATAGCCTTGCCGCCGCCAGCGACTTCGACACCGTATCTATCTTGAAAAGCCTTTTGGGCAACAAAGTTGCCGTTCAAGAACATGTCGAAAGATTCCATGACCTGGTGGACGAGTACCCCAATTAGCAACTGACTCGCGAGCCTGAAGACGGGATGGCGGCCCGAAGAGCCGCCAACACACGCAGGGGTTGATCCCCCAAGCACAAAGAATGAAGGGAAACTTACAATGGTGAAGCACATGATAAAGGCCCAGAAACAAGCCTTAGGGTGCGTCTTGACGGCTTGCCACAGGCCCTGGTTGTGTTCTTCGTTCTCGCCGTCAAAGGCATCGTTCATGAGGTCCGCATCGGCCAGGGTCTTGTTGCCTGCCGCGTCAATGTGGTGGGCATCGCCGACCTTTTCGTCGACAAAGACATTGTCGTCTCTGCTGGAGGCGTCGTGCCCGTCCTGGGCGAGACCCGTCGACATCTTGGGCTGAGTTTGTGTGAGAGTTCCGAGGGTGGTCGTGGTTGGTGGTGGCTGCAAAATCGGGAGATTTTGGCCAACAGCAAGTTGCAACTAGCAAAAAGCCAAGAGAGAACAAGCAACGGCCAAGAGGCAACAAGCAAAAAAGCCAAGAGAAATTTGGAGTCGCCCTGGTGGCCAAGATTTCTTTCTAGGAAAGGGGAAATCGGGAGCATCCGGTCTTATACCATCCACCTGCCCCCAACGCCGGGGACGGGAGCGGCCTTCAAAGGCTTGCTGCTGCTGACGAGATGGGCTTGACAAAAGACGAGGAAATGCTGATTTCGGTATTCTCATTGGTGCGCGTAAGAATACGGGTAGGACGGGGCTCTGCGGAGCTTTGGAGTAAGCATCGTGTCCTGACCATGTCCCTGAGGACGTCCGGGGTGTCTGGGGGACAAGAAGACTCTTGATAGGTGGGAGAACTCTAGTGACTCTTCGTGCGGGGGGATCGTGCGGGGAGCGGGGAGTCTCGAGGTCCAGTTCTCCAAAGGCCAGCCGAGGTGACGGAGGTGTTGGACGGGATGGGCATGGTGTTGGACTGGAAGAGCCTAGGAGGTGGATGAAGTGGATGAGCAAGATGATGTGGATGAAGAGGAGGAGGAGAATGGATGGAGAGGAGAAGTTTGGAGAAAAGTTGGAGAGACCCAGTTGTGTCCTGGTCCAAGACTAAACCAAACCTTGCCTAGCTGTGTTATCCTGGCTCACCCCCTTGCTTGAGGCAACTTGAAGCCGCATTGTGCAAATCGCAACTGGTTGCATTTCAGATGGGCTTCGGATGGCTTCGGGCACTAGTCAAAGGCCCGATGCCGTTTCATGCGCTGATGCGCTCGCTTCAGCAGCCAGCGTTTGCATATTTGTGCCGGTAGATTTGCGTGGCCTGACGATGACATTTCAGCCGTCCATCCGGTATCCGGTCCTGTAGGCAGAGTAGCATTTTACTATAGCCAAAGGTCGTTGCAGAAAGCGGCCCCGATTTCCCCAGGAAACTTTGACGGCGGGTATCCGTACGAATATTCGTATGTACTCCGTACTCCGTACTCACCCGCTCAACCCAGTTTGGTTCCCACTCAACTTAGCCTATGACGTTTGTCGACGTGGTTGGGTTTCTTTCCTAACCTGGGCTTAGAAAAAGTTCGTTCTGGTCGGCCCGTATTCAAGGGGCAGTGTGGAGACAAAGAATTGCTTTTGGCCAGGGTTCAGCCAGTGATGTTCTCGAGGAATCAGACGAAAACTAATCGCCCCTCTTGGACTGTTGGACATGCCATGTCGATTGGCATGTCAAGTTGAGAACACTGGAGACCGGACGAGTAGACTGCTTTAAGCTTGGGTACGCTCTTCTCCCCCAGAAAGGCCCACTGAACTCCAGACTCCAGAATATGATGGACAAATGGAAGAAATGACGACTATCAGTTCCCCACGGGTGCCGCGGGGATGCAAACCTTGATTCTTTGACATGGCATCAGTATCACGAGGGTGGCCCATACCCACCATTCATCCCAGACCCAGACAACTTTCGATTCGCCTCATAGCATGTGACTTGGTGATTTAGATCTTTAGCCGAACTTTTGCTAGCCGGCCCACCGCTACTCACAATCTCTGGGGGCCTCCAGAAAACGGTGTGCCTAACCCTATGCGTGCGAATCAGACGTAGTCGCCGTTGGCCCGTAGATGCTATTCACAACTCTCTCCCTACAACCTCAACCACGGCCCCATACCCCGCAACAGCAAAGTCTCAACCGCTAGGTTTTGAACCACAATCAAGATATAACCGTGATCAAGCCAGCCGCTCGGTCAGACGGGCGCTCGGTAATCTTGCACGCCGTCTATGGCCCCGTCACTCTTTTGACACTTTGCTAGCTGGGTGCCGAAGCCGTGGTGGTGGTCCCTCGGTACGCGTGCGGCTGCAAAAAAACGACACGGGTATCCCTCGCTCTCGGCAGCGAGCTCCGACGGCGTCGTCTATCGCCGCTGCCCAGCAGCAAGCCAACCGGCTTGGCGTTGATCCTTTGACAGCCGCCAGCGTCAGCGGCTGATTTCGGTCTTCCGAATCAATGAAATCGCTTCCCGGCTACCGACGCGGCCACTGATTGGTTGCATCTGGCAAGGTTCATCTGCAGCGCAGTTCAGACCCTTTCGCCAAAGTGTTTAACCGTTCGGGTTGATTTATTCTCTCGGCTTTTAAACATACACGGGGTTTCCATACGGAAAGGATTCAATACCTTGTTTAATCCAACCTGGATTCCGGATGGTAATTGCTCGAACTGCTCGTGGTTTTGCAGAAGAACACGATCGTAACCAAGTTTGATGCACCACTACACCACTACGTGCGTTTCATGCCTATCTTCAACTCTGCCTCTTTCGACATTGATAAAGGGCGGATATAGGAGAATTTTCGGCCAAACAACACGTACTCGTCATTGGCTAGTCTGAGGAAGTCCATCACTAACGCCATCTATCAGCCGAAGGAATCTCGAAGCACAGATCGAGCAACTTGGTGAAGAGTTCAGACCACGCCACCGTGCGCTGACCATCCGCCCAGAGCGTTGCAACACCTAACCCAAGAGCTTTGGCGAGCGAGTCGGCCCAGAAGCCCAACTCCAAGATGATGTAGACACATCGGCGCAGTTGGCTCTTTGGGTTGAGGCAATTTCCATCATAGAGAATTGAGCAACAACGGAATGGTAATGTTCGGAGCCTGCAAACCTAAATCCCGAAATTCTATTTTGAATGATCTAGGATGTTGCTGGTAATTCTCTAGGAGCTCGCCTTTTTCCGCTCCGGCTCCACTGCCTCCCGCCAAGAGTTTGCGTGACCATCCGTTGCATCTCAAGATTTTCACGTTCGAGCAAACGAGAGATTCGAGACTTGACTAGCATGGCACTGCTCGGTTCAAAAGACACAAGATCATGCCAGACAGTGGGCATTTGCAGCTATTGATCACCAAGTCTGTAGACTTGTTTGATCATTGAAGCCTGTTCATCAACTTGTCGAGTCGACCTCGAGTCAGGGTAGCTGCAGGGGCCAGGGAAGATCACTTAATCAATCTTCAACTCCGTACCAAAAAAAATTACCCCTGTCTCAATCCCGCAGAAATCTCAATATCTGTTCAGTTGATCTTCCGTCACCCTCTGAATCCACGATTCCAACCGGTCACTCCGTGGATACGGATACCAACACCTACACGGATACGCTGCCTCACAAGGCAGTAGTCGAGCCCATATATAACCGGATAGCAAGGGCGCCCACGAAATGGACTCTCTGCCCCAAGAAATATTGGACAACATCCTCGGTCGCATACCTGCGCGAGAGAGCGACATCCGAAATGATTATCTCTGGGAGCTCCAAAACTGGACGGATGTTAATTCGGAAGAATTCGACCCTGAGACACCGCGTCTTCGACCGGATCTTGCGGCCGTGTGCCGCAAATTTCAGCTGGGCATCGAACGGGCAACCTTTCACTCGCTCAGAATCACGAGTGACGACTTGGAGTCCGTCCGAGATGCCTTCAAACGGTGCCCCAACCGCCAGACTTCACTACGCGAGCTGCACGTGGACATTGTGACACCCGAATACCGGCACAGCTCAGGGCCCTCGGCCATCATCGAGAACATGGCACACTGCGACATTGCTCACACGGAGATTCTGAGAGAGTTGATGATTATGCTATCCGAATGGCCAGACGACACGCGAGTATCATTGTCCATCAGCCTCACTACCTATATTAAACACAACAGACAATCAAAAAACATCGAGCTTTACCATTTTAATGTGGTGAATCCTCAACTCCTTCCGATCGTGCCATGCGTCCGGAGCTTGAAGTTCTCGTTCTTACACTTCTCTCCGAGACGGAATGTCGACGGCGACTTCCTCCTTATGCAAAAATTTCCCAACTTGGAGTCTTTCGACCTCAATGCTCGGGAGTTCCCCTTCTTTATCAAACCGCGACGAGAAATGCGAAAGTCTCTGATCAACACCCTTTCATCATATCAGTTCCCGACATCGGCAAGGCACGGAAAGCTTATCATCTCACCCAATGAATACGGTCCCTTCCAGCAGCTACCGCAGATGACCAAAGACGGGGAGAGCGATCCTCTCTTTGTGAGCCTGCGCCGAGCGATTGGCGGCTTTTCAGAATTCGAGTACGCGGGCCATCTCAGCTCTTCTTTCTTCTGGTCGCCACCTCCCAGTCTGGGCGATGCAGTCCCGTATTGGCAGAACATGACCAAGCTCAAGGTTGATTGCGACATGGTCTCGCCCAGCGGAGAGTGGTACCTGAAGCACTATAACACGCGCATTGTCGAGTTTCTGGCCAGCACCGGCAAAACAGTGCCAGGCGCAACCTGAGAAGGAGATGCTGAGGAGCCGGTGTGGGAAGCTTCTGTTTCGGAACTCGAGAGACGCAGAAACATCGAACGTTCCTACTTGGAGAAAGACCCCCCAGACTGGCAGTATAGCGTCAGCGGCGACGACAAAGTAGCCGTCTGGACCGTCAATGAGAAGGTCATGGTTCCAATGCTCACATCCATGGCCAAGGCGGCGGGCCAGATGATCTCCCTCAAGGAACTCCGGTTCAGAGTCCTCTTGGCTAGGTACGAAAGAGGCGACGACTCCGAAGGATTCCATCGCTTCCACGTTAATTATCTCGCTCCCGGGGTCGAGCCATATGTCGGCGTAGCAGAGTTCCCGCGGTGCTGTTGCTCGTCTAAGGACTTTGTACCGGAGTATAGGGCGCGCCAGGCCGGCGACTTGGAGAAGGCTCGTTTGCTGCTCAAAATCAAAACCGAGAATCTGAAGCGTGAAGGGTTAAAGGACTCCTGTCCGGATAGCCCAAGGTGGCTTTTGAATATGGATCAGTGGCAGCCGAATGAAGAGTTGCTCGACTTGTTTAGGCAAGTAGGGAGAAAGGCCCATTCAAAGGATGCGGTCATCATTCGACACGTACACCATCATAGACAGGACTATATCTTGGAACAGGACTAGCTGTGGCATCTGTGGAGTCGAGTCACTTGTGATCATGAGGCCGGGCCACTGTTTTGAGATGTCAACTGTGTAATATTACTCCAGGCTACTGAGGCGTGTCGGTCGTTAGGATCAAAACCCGTCAAACTGGACGACAGTTTGAAATGACATTTGGAGCTGAGAAATTGTTTCGGCGTCTACCGGCACATCGGCCCTTGATGAGGTCGAAAGTGATGTACTAAGAATCAAGATCTAACAGCCAGGCTGGACTGAACTTTTAACCCAAGTAGCCTAATCTACCTACGAACCCGACTGTCAGTCCGTAATACCTGCCTGTCACTGTGACAACTTGATACGACAATGGAAACTATGGCTGTAACTCAAGATACATCAATACATGTACGTATCGAGGACATACGGTCTGGAAGATATCTCATCCCTCATAGTACCTCACAAGAGATTAGACGAAAGAACTCAGTCTCTTGACTGGAGGGGCTTGGCCTTGGCAACAGTGTAGCAAGATTCACATAATCATGAATGGATGGCAAAGATCAATAGGCGGAGAACTTTTGATTATTTTTACTCATACATCTACATCGTCCGCATCATTACAACATTACACATTTGTCCAATCCCAGCTTTACATCGCCAGCAGGGCCAACAGGGAGAGACCCACGGCACCCATGCTGACGGAAACCATGCTAGCGCCGCTAGAGCCAGAGGTAGAAGTCGGGGTGGCACCAGTACCGGTGGCAGTGCCGGAAGGAGTAGCTGCAGTGCCGTTGGTTGCGACAATACGGCCCTCAATCTTGGCCTCAACGGGGCTCTTGGCCTCAACATACTGAACGAGGACCTCATCCTGGGTATCAAGGGTCACAAAGTCAGTGGTAGCGACAAAGATGTTGTCACCGCCACCGGCCAGGAAGTCGAGGGTGACGACCTTGTAATCCTTCGCATCGTCCAGGGCCTCGCCGCCGACCTCGACAGAGACGAGCTTGGAACCGTTGTTGCCGGCCGGGTTGTATTCGATGATGATGTTCTTGGAGACCTGGAAGAATGAGGTGATGGGCTCCTGGTTGAACTGGTTGACCTTTGTCACGGCACCCTCGAGGATCTTGCGCAGGTCGGAGCCCTTGTAGGTGATCTCGACAATGGAGTTGCCAAAGGGGAAGGAGGTGAGGACCTCGCCGCGGGTAATGTTACCCTCGTCAATGGTGGCGCGGATACCGCCGGCGTTGATGAGCGCAAAGTCGGGCGGGCTGTCGGCGGAGGAGTTGAGGCGGTACTCATACATGGCGTCGGTCATGACGTTGCCGAGGATGCATTCCTGCTTCTGGCAGAGGGACTGATCGAGCTCGACGTTGGAGACGCCGACGACCTCGGCGGCAAAGGCCTCAAAGGGTCCGCGCCACGACTCGATCTGGGCCTGGAGGGCGGCGTCCTGCTCGGTGGTGTTGGTGAGGTGGATGGGGCCGCCGTGGTAGGCGAGAATCTTGCCCTCGGCATCGTAGGTGACGTCGATGTAGCCGACGTACTCGCCCCAGCGGTAGGCGGTGACGATGAAGACGTCGTCGCCGTCCTTGTTCTGCTTCACGGTGGGGTAGGGGCCCTCTGCGTCCTCCATCGAGCCGAGGAGGGTGTGGGAGTGGCCGCCCATGATGAGGTAGAGGCCGGTGGTCTGCTCAGCGAGCTTCTGGTCCTCCTCGTAACCGATGTGAGTGATGGCGGCGATGCGGGTGATGTTGGTGGTGGACTTGATGTGGTCGATAGTGGACTGCACAGTGCTCACGACATCGAGGAACTTTGTGCCCTCGCCGGGGGAGGAGATGCCCGGAGTGGTGGTGGTGGTGACACCGATGACCGCCAGACCTTGGTCCTCGAAGATGTGGTAAGGCTTGATGGTCTTGTTGAGCTTCTCGTTGTCGGAGACAATGTTGGCCGAGATAATGGGGAACGTGAGGTTCAGCAAGAAGTCACCGAGCTGGTCGTCGCCGCCGTCGAACTCGTGGTTGCCAAGGGTCATGGCATCGAAGCCGAGCTGGTTGATGGTCTCGGCAATCTTCTCGCCCTTGTAGAAGGAGTAGAAGAGCGTGCCCTGGAACTCATCGCCAACGTTCAGCCACAGGGAGTCGTTGTACTGCGGGCGCAGCTCGTCGACGGTGTGCTTGATGCGCGCGTAGCCTCCGTAGCAACCGCGCTCGGGACGGGTGCAGTCGGTGCCCGAAGAGGAGAACTCGTCGAGATGGGCGTGCACATCGTTGACATGGAAGAAGGAGATGTTGTAGTTGCCCTCGGCGTCGATGCCACGCTTGGAGAGGCGAGACGAGTAAAGGTGGTCACCGTCTTCCTTCTCAGGAACCGCCAAAGCGGCACCGGCCAAGGCCAGAGCCAGCGTCGGGAGAGACTGGCGCATCGTGAGCGAGGGGAATCGCGAAGTCCGGAAGGTGGGAGGTAAAAGAGGGAGCTCAAAAGGCCGCAAACAAGCTCGATCTGATGTCAAGGTTGCGCGAGAAGTCAATTAAGCCTTCACGATGCCACGGTTGAGTATGCGCCACGCAGAGTTCTTGAGGAAAACTTTCTTCTACTACTGACGATCGCAATTCTTCTCTTTCCGGGCTCCTGGAGCTACCCGCGCGAATATATACAAATTTTTGCTTCTGCCCAGAGCTTGCGGGCAGCAATTGGAGAGTGGAACAAACAAGAACCACATGCGATCAATTGTGACGGCGGTGGCACGGGCAACGCAGCGCGACAGCTTCGAACGGGGGCCTGCATCTCGGAAAGCATCTCTCTCTGATCGCTGAGTGGCTGGATAGACACGACAAGACACCAAAGGACCCCCGTTGGAGGTTCTTCTGGCCGCATGCCAAGACATTGGCAAAGTGGTTGATGCCGGGAAAGACAGCTTCTTCGGTGATGAAGTAGCATTTGCCAAGAGACGCGGACAGATGAGGGGTGAGATACACGTTGTGGTGGTGGTTTGGATGATTGGCTTATCAGCGGTCCCTTTGCCTCTTCTGGAGCACGCGTTGGCCCGGCGGAGGCCCTTTGACTTCTGTCATGGAGGGACGGACGGGTCTGGGGGACCTGAACCGGGGTTCATGAATTGGTAGGTAGTGTGGTGTTCCTCCAGACGATGCCATGCGACTCGCGGCCAATGTGCGGTCAGTTACGCATCACGGTCTCTCTTCAGCTCGTTGGGCTTCCCACAAAGGGTGACCGAGAAGGGCTTGTCTGACCTGTGGACGGATGCAGCCGAAGCTATGTTGGCAAATGGTGTGGCGGGCAGAGTTCATCGAGCTTTGCTCCTCTATCCGGTCCCGTGCCATCACTTGCTTGCATGGGTACCGCATGGCGAGGAGCCTCAACTGGTTCGGTGTGAAAGGAACACCCTGATGAACATCTGCGGAGCAACTAGACGCTCATCATGGAGACCAATTGATGCACTCCAGAGTGCCTGCAGAGCGAGACACTCCCTCGGTAACACGACGTGACCTTGATCCAGGTCTAGGGTGGCAATTGTACCCATGGCAAACTCACCATCATGTTGTGCCAGGCCGGCTTGGCCCCCGTCTCCCTTGACTCTGACTGTCTGACAGTTCGTCCGTCCTTCTGCTTCCATCCAAGCTTCAAGCAGTGTGCGTCTCGTCGCGTGGAATGACCACCTGGAAAAGAAACTTGACGATTCCCAAAATCCTCCCACCATCGCTTCACCCCCGCCGGCTTGGGATTGACAAGGTCTTCTGGGCTGGGCTATGGGGTTCGGAGGAGCAACAAATAACGTTAATCCAGTCACTGTCCAATCCCACGCCGCGCTTAGGAACTTTCTCTGATAACGTTGGGGAGACACCTAGGCCGAAGACGGAAGGTCAAAGTTATTGCGCTGACCTCCGCTTCGCCTGTCGAGAACTCGCGTGCGTGTTTTCAGCTGCGATCCCGGCGGACAAGGCTGGGCCAGCTGCTGCTCCGAGCTTGCGCAGCACTGTGGGTTATTGGTTCCTGAACTCGGAATCACAGAAGAGAGCCAAGATTCCCAGCGATAAGAAGGCCTTCGATATTGTGGCTGCTTCTTCACCGGGGATGAGCTACCCTTTCAGGGCAAGAGAGCACGCGAGCCTATCTGTGTCGCTCAATATTCCGATAGGAAGCTTTAAAGACAGGAATGGATGATGGCCATGAAGTAGTCGGATGTCGCCGAGGAGCGGCCCTACAGCTGGGTATTTGCAGTGGCTAGTCGATGCAGCAGTACGGCGCAGCGAGAGCTTGGAAGTAGATATCAAGTGTATAGTGAGTTGGTGCATGCCATACGTAATTGACCAAGTATCACAGTATTCGTACGAATTGATGTCGCGTTGATATGCGGTATCTCATGACGTGGGTACTCCGTAGAGCTTGAGAGGATAGGAGGGCGGGCAACCGGCGGGAATGTGGGGGAGGTCCGGAGATGCCAGCGGAAGTCCCGACTTATCGGGATCGCCCGATGCAACACTTGGCCACACTTCATGTGACTAAGGTAGTAACATATCTAATGCATGATAATCTGGATGTGATACTCAGGATTAAGAGCGAATCCAATTCAAAGTTCTGCTTGAGAAAGTGTCGCATGAAGCCGCTCGCTCTAGTGACAAGAAGGACGGTGTGAACAAACAGCGTGTTAATGACAGATCTGGGAAGCTCAGATTCATAGCCACATGCGACAGAAAAGTGAGATAATAAGTCCATTACTCAAGTGACCGAACATCAAACTGAAAACAAAAAAAAAAACACTCTGTAGAGTCTCAAAGTGATGACTGACCCAAATTCTTCCTACACCTGCGCACTTCACGCTCGTCTAACCGCTGTTGCACTGCACTCTTCCATCGCCATTCACCTGAAGGCTCGAGCACGAGAAGCACGTGCTATCCTTCGCTCCTGCATCACGGCACCGTCTGTTGAAGTCGTCTCCATCGATCTTCCACTTCTTAATCATATTTTGAAGCTGGTGCTGTTAACTTGGTTCAACCGAATTTCCTTCCTTAAGGTCCGGCTTACGTATTGTCCATCCTTACGAGGCCCAGGGCTATGTGCGAACCAATCTGTTTTAGAACTCGCCAGATGCTCAGATGGACCTTGATTCAGTTAGTCTATTAAAACTTAACGAGCAACACGCATGTAGTAGCACTTACCCCAGACGTAGCCATAGCAGGGCTTCGCGGCAACCTTCGCCGTGGCGGCGTGGTCCACGGGGCCGTTGGACCATTGCTGGCAAGCACAGTAGTCGTGGGAGTCTGCTACGGCGCCAGAGCTATTTCTTATTAGTAATATTACTATGCAGAATGAAGTATATCCTACATTAGCGCAATGGCTGCCACAGCTAATTGGAAGCGCATCCTGTGATGTTTGATATGTTGATAAAAATAAGACAAGAGAAGATACAGTGAATCAAGAACCAGAAAGTATGATGTACTCTTTGGGTCAGAAAGAGAAAAAATCAATTGTCGAATATAGTCAGCGAGTATAACGACCATGAACAGCGTGGGGATACCCTCTCGGTATAAGTATTTAGACACATTGACTCGGTAGCAACCCGACGGGAACTTTTCGCCCGTATTGCTAGAGAGATGGTTAGTCCAACGGTCTGGCCGACCCGTGAGTTAATTGCATCGGCTATTCAGGAAGCGAGTACAAGACCAGTAAACTCTGACCGGCCCCGTCTTCGGGATTTTCTCAACTTTGACTATGATCATTAATTTTCCCATGTCATGCAATTGCTTCTTCGGGGTACCAGATTTCATTTTCTTCGCTTTTTAATATAATATTTAGCTTCTTTGAACTCTACAGATTGCTCCTTACTGACTAGTTGGTGGACAGAGTTTTCGTGTCCATGACGCCCGGTCCAGCAAATTTTATGAAGTTGATTAAATCTGGGTACGTGCGTTGTTAAGCCTCTGTGATGCGGGTTTTCATGTTGCCTTGCCTGTCGACACATATAATACCTTGAACCTGCGCATGAGGCTTGAATGGTGCAGTTGATCACTATCGTTCTTTATTTGATCTTCAAGCTTGGAAGAAGACGCAGCTCCAACATGAAGGCTTCCGCTCTTTTCTACATTCCACTCTTCGGCCTTGCGCTCGCCGCGCCTGCAACTCCACAGGATCAATGCAGTGTTGAGACAAGCAACATCTTCCAACAAGTTTCCAGCCCAGATGGATCGTATGTAGACTCTCGCTCTTCGATGGATCAATGAGATAACATGCTGACGGATTAACTTTGACAGTGGCGTTCAAGTAAAGGGATGCGACATTGCCATTCCGCAATCCTCAATCGAGGCCAACGGCCTTGACAAGCGAGCGATGCATGGCACACTCCAGGTTATGTGGACCATCACACTCTCAACTGCACAAGATATCATCATTCGCGCACTTGTAAACATGGTCAATGACCAAGTTACCTTGTTCACAGAGATGGCAGGCATGGGCGTCACTGTCGATAACGTCGCTCGGCTCTCGGGCACCCAAGTCGCATTTGAGGTGAATGCCGCAGGAAGGTGGGGTGACACTGCTGCCAGATTTGTCTATGACTTTGGCGTGGGAACCATCATCACCTTTATTAGAGAAGGTGCCCGGGACCCAAGAGGATACAATTTGCCAGTCGACACCCAGTACTGCTACACTAGACCGTGAGTTTGTCCACTTTCGATTCGGATTCTGTATTCTAAATTCATCATAGGGCATAAGCTACAAGCTGTAATTCTCTATATGCACTGGCTAGTCGCCTTGCGTCTCTTTGATAAATCTTTCTACTTAGGGACCGCACAAAATTGCACGGACAGACAGGAATGGCGGTCAGTGAAAGCATGGCTCGCATCATTACACGGATAGGAGAGCCATGCCGGTCGTTTGTGGGCATTGTAGAGGTTGATATTGGTTTATCATAGGCAAGGCGAAGATTTTTGAGCTTCCCATGGGCTTCAAGATACTTGATTCAGACTGAACTAAGGGATAAGACCCAAGCGCGCCCCGGAAGGGAGATTCTTCGAGTTGTACTGCAACACATTCTTGACTGAGCGTAGAAGAATTCAAGTTAGCATATGTTTCATAAGTCAAACCCCCCACTTCCTGGCACCCCCCTGTTTCTGGCACCCACAAAAACGATGGGATCACAACCCAACCTCCTCATTACTATTAACTATTGATCCTCAACCACACCCACTACAATACAACTGCCAGCCTCACTAGGGCATTCAGAGTCGCTGGATTCAGCCGTAATAACCTCCTTTTCACCCGCTTCGATTTGAGCCCGATGGATATCCCTGATGTTCGCAAACTTCGTGTTGGGATCGATCTGAACAGTCTTCCTCTTCCTAACTGCAGCGTTGGTAACTTGAGCCCTCAGGTGAGCCAGCTGCTGCTGGGCAGCTGCCAGTTGCCAGGCCTGCTCTGTAGCCTTTTTCACCTTCCTGAACAGCAGCCGTTGAGTGCTGGTATCATTGTCGAGTTGGGTGTATAAGTGCAGTTGACCGCTGAGCTCTGCCAGCTTCCTGGGTGTCGACCAGACCACTGCAGAGGAAGCAGAATCCCATGGCTCAACAGGGTAGTTTGTTGACCATTATGGCATCGCTTTTGCCCCGACTGGTTGGTTTGGTGTGGTGGGCTTAGCAGAAGGCTCAGGTAATACCATAGGGTTCATCAGGGGCTTAACCATCGCTACAGGGTGTAGACCAGTCCACTTCCAACCACTTCTGATGTTCGAGACTGATAGACCAGCAAGTCGAGCCTTCTGGTAACAGTCCAGGAAGTTCCTTTTACCTATAATGGTAGAGTCGTTCCATTGAGACAAGTAACCGAGCTCCTTCCGATAGGCTGACTTAACAGGGCTGAAGACAGACTGGTCAAGTGGCTGGAGGACATGAGAGGAGTGGTGGTAAGAACAGTAAATGGATATTGTTAATATAGCAATTCCACATGAAGTCTGTCGTCGTATGACTCCCATGCCCATCCACAATCAACAGTCGAGCCTCGCCCTCAGCCTCGGGCATAGTCTGTGGGATAAACACTTCTCTAACCATTCAATGGCAGTTAAGTCTGTAGTCCAGCCATTATCTGTTGCTGTAAACTCCCACCCATCGTATGGAACCAGATGTAATGGAAACCACTGTTGTTGGACCGTCTTCCTTGAAAATGATAAGAGGACGAAGTGCCCTACCCAAGGCTGAGATACACTCAATGATAGAGACCCATGCCCTCGACCCAGGTTGTTTCTTGCGAACAGACGTCGTCTCAGCCATGCCCAGCACTAACCCATTAGCTCCTGACCCTCGAGGATGCCAGTCTCATCCATATTATATCTGTTGGCTGGTTTGATGTCCTTGATCTCAGGGATAGCAAGGAACTTAAACCAGTTCCTAATGACCTCAGTAGATGCCCCATTAACGCGTCTAGAATCGATGGAACGACTTCTCTGAACCTTAATGATAGGGTTCCTTCTCACGAAGGCATAGATCCAGCCTTTTCCTAATGGTTTGGTATCCCCAGCAGCAGCCAGAACTCGCTCTGCGAATTCCTTCACCTGTTGGTGCGTTGGTGCGAGGCCCAGCGAAGCCTGAATGCGAACCCATTGTGCCAGCTTACTCTCCTGGTCAGGAGACAGCCTCTGCCAGTCAGCAAAAGCCACTTTCCTAGTCTGACCACCTTGGAGACGTAGTTGGAGGGTTGATCGTGGTATCCCATACTCCAATGAGGCTCTCTTTGACTCTTGCCGTTTGAGATGTCCTCGAGAGCCTGACGAAGCTGCATTAGATATAGAAGAAGGTATGTGCAAAAAATGAGCCCATTTGGACTCGAATTGAAAATGTTGTGATAAAAGGAGGTTGGGGGTGGGCATTGCGTTGTGGTGGATTTTCGCGTTTTTGTGGGTGCCAGAAACAGGGGGGTGCCGGGAAGTGGGGGGTTTGACTTACTAAGCAGATGGAGTCGGATTAAACAACTTACCTTCGTTCCAGCTGAAAGGCTCGACCTTGGATAGGGCAATCTCCCACCAAAGTCGCAAACACCACGTCGCGACCAACCCATCTCTAATATCTTGGGTCAATGGGACGACGATCTGTAGCTTGTGGATCCCCTCCTCGCTCGTCTCATGCGCCAGAACCGTCCTGTCGCTCCCATCACGCCATTCCTGGCGTCCGCTGCCCCGCGTCTTAATGTTGAAGAGCATCTCCTTGGCTTCAAGATCGGCCCCTTCTCTCGCCCTCGTCGCCCTCCAGGCGCGGTAACCCGATCCACCCAAGCGTCGGTGTGTTTTAATCCCCACATGTCCAACGTTTCCGCGAGAGACCGAGTTCAAGTGGTATGGGAAGGGGGGCTCAGTGACTGTCGGGTCTCGCTTTAGGTCGAAGATGTGCTTCTTTCGTGATGTTACCTGAGGACCGGATGCTCTAGAAGAGTCCCTTACACTATTCTCATAGCGGTAGAACGAAACTGATGTATTGGACTCCCGCAGGTGTCCGATGGGGTAAGTGAGTTCGTATAATGGCGGTGATGACGCAGAGGCTGTGTTAAAAATGGTTGTTCCGGCGAGGAGGAGGGTGCCGGCGGGGATGAGGTCATCACTTGAAGTCGGGACTCCTTCAGAGTAGGAAGGAGGAACGTCGGCTACAGGATCACCCCCTGAGTATGCAGGAGTGGCTTTCTCGCTTTTGTCGCCGAACATATTGTCGCAATGTAGTCTCGTAGGCAGATGACTTCAGTGCAGGAAATTGCTTTAGAGGCAAGGTCGTCCCCAAACTAGAGGCTTATGTGTCGCTGAAAAGTCGAGTATTTGCTGATTTTGCTGTTGTTCTTACTCTTGAAACAATTGACAGGTTTTAGAACTTGAGGCTAAGAGATAATGTCCGACGATGCAAGATGGGGATCTTCAACAGCGATGGGTCCTTCGTGGTCGGGATATTATAAGCTTGAAATATGTGGTTCGGAACGGTTGGGATTCCCGTCTTGGCTCTATGTGCTGTGCGAACCCCAGAGATCCCGTGGTATGATCTTCGCGAGTTCACTGTTTGGCAAAGAAAACGAGCGGCAAACTTCCAATAATTTGGTACACTGCAAGTTGCGCCACACCATATGACGTATGAGAAGCCGAAGTCATAAACTGTTCACAGGGGCGGTGTAAATTCTAGTGGGGTTTTCTTGAGGCTGCGCCCTGGCCTCGGGCGCCTACCGTCTTGGCAGTGATGATGATGACTGTAGCCTGCAAGAGACTAGCCGGTTGGGGAAAAGATGGGTAAGATTTAGAGAAGGAATTGATCTTTTGTCAACTGCTCCAATTTTGCAACGGGGCTTTTAAAGAGGTTACAATAGAGACCCCCTAAAACATAAGATCAGATGGTTTAGCCAGCAGTGAAAATGGGTTCAACCATCCTGGGGCCCCAAGTTCAGAATGCGACATCGCGGCGATCGCTCACCACCTGTCCAGAAATCAATTTTGGACAGGGTGAAAGTCCATTTGAATGGGTATTTATTAATGCAAGGCTTAATTTAAAGCCTAACAGCTGCGGCTCCACCCCTGTCTGTAACCCTTCAAGTTCTGTGATCAATAGTTCTCGGCCTTCAAAACAGCCTCGAGGCGCGGGATATCAAACTGTTTCGATGTAAGCTTAGCGGCCAAGGGGTATGCATCGGATTATCGATGGCCCACAGCGACTTACCTCGATACCGGCTTTAGTATCCCAAATCGTTACCTCTTTGGCAAAGAGCATGTAAGATAGATTCTCATCCAGGTTGAGTGCTGCGCTATCCAGTTTTATTTGCGAAGCCCGAAGCTGCGTGATGGCTGGCCCGCTGTCATTGAGCCACAATTTGATGACAGTATTGATGATCGGCATGTCCGCTCCACCAAAGTAAGGCCTGACATCGGCGCCCGGAATCGGGACGTGGATACTGGCGTTGTAAATCGTTCCGGCGGGCAAGGGTTTGATCAGTGCATCGGCCAGATTCCTCGCAAATGTCTCGTTCGATGTGGCATTCTGCGTAGCCATGGCCCAGAAAAAGGCGACCGGAGGCTCGTTACCGGGTTTCGCCGGAGATTTCGGGGCACCCGCAGTGATATTGGTCAGGAAAGTCTCCGTCGCGATCATCGACATGGCAACTGGGAAGTCGTTGAAGTTGGCTCCATCAGGACCGATCACCGTCTCGGTGTAATTCGTGGAGGGTGGGCCCAAGAAGGACGTCGGGGAGCTGCTGTATAGCTCGGCGATATCGTCGCGGCCGACGTAGACTTGGTTCGCTACGCTGTTGTTTGCACCGAAGACTCCGTCAAAGACATGGCTTTGGATGTAGGCTGCGGGGAAGGAATCGTCTCGAGGTGCGTTCCATGACTTCTGCCCGTGAACCAGTGTATGGTAGTACAGATACTCTTTGTGCGTGAGACCAGAGCGGCGACGGACTACAGCGAGCTGCTTCGGGAGAGACTGCGCCTGAGCGGAGATGATCTGACTCGCAACTAGGCCAAGCAGGAGGCTGATGGATGAGACTTGAACCATCTTAGCAACTCCGAAGAACGAGATTAAAGGTTGACTTGATATGATGGCGGCACAAGAATAAAGAAGAGTACTGGCGGCTTTCTATCTCAAGTACTTCCCCTTAAGGTCGAGCTTAAGTTACTGAACCCCTCAGCCGATCGTTCATCCTTCCCGGTGGGGCCGGGCTGCCGAGGCCATGGGAACACCACCTGCCCTAAATGAAAGCAATTATTTGTATAATACGATTGTTTTGACCCATACAGAATAGCTCGGTTCCTGGGTTTCTAATAGAAGCCTCGCTACCGAATTGATCAGTAACCTCATGAATATCGCTTAGAAGCGAGACTCCGGCAGCATTACTCGGGTTCCGGAAAGTGGGTGGAATGACATTGCGTCGCGACTAAACTTAATTAACTCCTGCACGTATTTGATCTAGGGTATCATTGAGCATCATCCCGTCCGCCAGTAAGAGCGAAGCTTTCGGGAACGTATGTTCTGCAGTATAAATACGCTTAATTATTCGGATTGCCACCCTTGTTGAGACGAGAGCCAGGGGAGCTCTAACCTCTTGGCTTGCTAAGCCGCTCCTTACGAACTTGTTCACCGCTTTGTCAGCGGGAGCCGCTTCTTATGAGCTGGGCATCTTCCCAACTGCGTCTTTCCTAAAACCGTCACGAGTATGCTGGAATTTTACAGCTCATGTTGTAATCCCTCTTCCTGCGACTTGGTGATGGCACATGATCCGAGCCACATGAGCCACATGATGAAGTCGGACGTTCTTTGAATGCGCGTACTTTCTTCACGTGTTGAGGCCCGCGGGATTGCTACACGGATTGCGTTGGCGGCCGAAATTAGAAGCTCGAGATCGAGCTGGCCGTCCGCATCTTCTGGGTGTATGATCATGTTGAGAAACAGAGCAATGGCTGCATTGGTGGCGTAAAACATCAAAAGCCTAGGAACTTCGTTAGTTGCTAGACATCGACCCACACAAGAATATTAAGAAAATTGGCTGCGTGCATAGGTTCAATGCTGCTTGAGGAAGCCGGAGGGGAACATGATGACTGACCAGAAGCCTTCATTAGAGAAGGTATTCATACACACTCGCAGGCATCGAAGCGTCGATCTGCCGGCTTCCATTGATAAGTCATAGCTCGAGTGAATGACCCGGTGAAGATCTTGCCCCCCGTCGCCGATTATCGTATGTGCATCATATCGTCTGACTGTAGTATGAACGTAGATCATCAGGTACCAATACTCTAGAAGAAGGTGAAAATATCGTCGTGCATGAGGCGGTTTTGTTTCAGGCGTGATTAGAAGAGTAGTTGACGAGACTGAGAGAGCTGGCCGGAAGTCCACCGGAACTGACAGACGCCAGCGTTCAATCTCGTCATCTAGTTCTCGGATTGAAATCAAGAGTCGATTGTCTTTGTCCCTCAGGGCCTGTACTGAGTAAAGTAGCCGATATACTTTCTCTTTGAGATACCCTAATTGAGCGTCTCCCGAGAAGTGTGGTGTGAGATGGTCATCATTGGATGCATCTAGATGGTGGAGATACTCATTGAGACCACGTAGATAGGTATAAGAGCTCAGGTAATTTTCTGGGACGGTGAGATCACAGTAGATGTCAGCAAGTAGTGGAGGTTGTCCTGTCCGTAGGGACAAGTCTTTATCCGACATGTAGCAAACCCAGAAGAGATTTCTAATATGCCGTTTTCTTCTCTCGGACAGCGGGATCTCTCCTGTAGGGGCCTTCGAGGGCTGATAAAGGTGCCCACCGAGTGCACCGACTGTACGGCAGGCTCCTGGCAGTAGCGAATCGGCGTCTTGCCAATGACCGCTCAAGAGACGTTGCACATGCTTGACTCTAGATTTAGTTTGCCGATCATTGCATGAACTACTGCAAGCCAATGTCTAGGGTCGACTCACCAGTAACAGGGTTGTTTGCAACGTTGTGAGGCTTACATATCCGACAAGTTGATTGAGAAGATAGCTGGCTCTGGCTGCGCTCTCATCGCCGTCTAGCCCTGAAGAACCAGACTGAGCGTCGGGTAGTAATGTAATGAGACTGACGACACCGAAGACGCAGGCCCGGGCAGCCAGACAAATCGGTGAAGGTGAAATATTGTCGGGATCTTCATAAGCCTCGTTGATTGTCTCTTCGAAGAGAACTTTGTCAATGAGTGGGTATCTTAAGCGGAAAGATGACATGAAGTACGAAGACAAAAGCTCTCTTAAAGAAGCCTGATCTGGAAGTTGGCAAAGATCTGGCGAAAGTTGCGCATGTCTCCTCGCGAAAGGTGATGGCTTTGGTGTGAATATCTGAAGTTTACTCCAATCGATGGTTTGACCAGTCTTGGAGGAAATCCATCTGCGCCCGTCTTCGGAGAATGCGTGGATGCCTCTGAAGAACCAGTTGGGGCCGACATAGCTGCCGGGCCGGGAGCCATCTGCTGGTGGTGTTGTGTGAGTGTCATCAACACTGGCGGGGGTTTGAGAGAAGACCAGTGGAGAGATTGATTGCTCGGAAAAAGCAATAGAGTTCTGAATAGCTGCTGGAATTGGACTTTGAACAGATAGCGAGTTCGAAGTCTCCTCGGATACGGATATCGCTGGAGTTGGTTGGCCTCGACTAGGGGTGTCTGGCTGAGTTGGTTGCTGCGAATTTGCCTTGGCTAGCGCATCTTCGAGCTGCTGTATGCGATCGTTGAGGCCTTGGACGTCGCCCAACGTTACCCTAAAGGAAAGAACCGTTACTGGTCAGCAACGGCTAATTATAGTAACATGCTTCCTTTGTAGAGTGGTTGAGAATTACTGACTTGGTTTTCTTCTTCCTTCGTGGCGCATCACGGTGAAAGGTGCATTCGGAATCATGATGGCTGCACCAGTCGCACGGAGGGCCCTCTGCAGGGATAAGACATTGGATCTGGGATAACAAAGCACATGGGTCAGCGACTGCGTATGTTCTCCCATTAGGATGCGAGTGACTTCAGTGGCCTCACCTTCCTACGATAGCAGATATCGCATGCTCGCTTTGGTGGCATTTTGGCATTGATCAGCACTCCCTGGGAGCCGGTACTTCTGGTAAAGCTGCCAGGGCTTGTTGGTGCAAGACAGCATCGAATTGGACACACGGAGCAAACTCAGCTCCGTCGGCGGCAATGACCCAGGTTTTGAAAGATCTGGTGCTATGACTAAGCGGGATAACATCGAGCTTGGCTCCGATGACAAAGGGTTTGTCTCCATCTGACAGACAGAGGTTTAGGCTCTAGACCAAAACGGGACGGCCATGATTCAAGAGACGGGATGATGGCCATGTTCTCACTTTCAAAGCTCTGGGGACACATCCATCTTCCAGAAGGAATTGGTAGAAGAGGCCAGTATATAATGAGTGGCCGCTTAGAGATGGAGACCGTGTCAAAAAAGCAATTCAGACTTGAGAGATGACTTGCTAGACAGAATCTGGTTACATGAAAATGTGTGCCATCAAGCACGGCCATCAAGTAGCAAATCGAGGCACGGACGCGGAACCTGGTTTGGCTCCGTTGCCCCGACCCACGCGCTCACAGACTCATCAACCAGGGCAAAGCTCCCTGTTCGGAACCTCAACGTTTCCGTACCCAAATGTTTGCAACGCAGAGCTTCAGGAATGTTTTCACCTCTCTCATAGCTATTAGATAATAACTCCTGCTCACCGTTCATTTGAAGTCACGCCACGCCAAGTTTAATATGTCTATCCGTACATTATCTGATGCGGTCCTGCCCGGGCCTATAGCTATCATGCTTTCTCCGGTTCCTACGCAATCAACTATTTAGTTCTCTCATCCTTATCTGATCCTCGAATCTGAGGCTTTGGGCAATTCTCCTATGAACGATGACGCACACTCAGTCTCTCTCCGATGAAGAGGCCATCCGGCCCGACGAGCAGACGCCGCTTCTCGGCAATGGAGCAGGCCAAGGAGATGGCTCGGTCTCCGAAACCCATCGGGTGGAGCCCCGAATCGCACGCCGGCTCTACCTATCGCACTTCCTCTCGACTTGGAATTCTCGGATGTTCGAGTTCGGCGCCGTGCTGTACCTGGCGACCATATTTCCAGGTACACTTCTGCCCATGTCGCTTTATGCTCTTGCCAGGGGATTATCGGCTCTCGTCTTCGCGCCTACAGTTGGACAGTACATTGATAACAATGACCGGTTGAAAGTTGTCCGCGCATCCATTGGTGAGTCTCGGCGCATGTAGATTAACGACTAATCAGACTGTTTAATGTTGACATAATTTTGCCCAGTCTTCCAACGACTCGCAGTGTCAGCTTCATGTGTCTTATTTTACGTCCTCTTCATTAGGCTGCCGTTGGGTGACTATGGACGTCCGGCTCTGCTTGCGCTCCTCTCATTCATGGCCTGTGCCGAAAAGCTGTACTCCATCATGAATATGGTTTCAGTCGAGAAGGACTGGGTGAGTTTGAGCTGATTCCAGCAGACATCTCTATGTTTCTAATGGGTGGCTAGGTTATCGTCATCGCTAAAGGCGACATCGAAGCCCTAGCAGTTCTCAATGCGCAGATGCGCCGCATCGATCTTCTCTGCAAACTACTCGGGCCACTGTTCATCGCTCTTATTGACGGATTCTCCACAAGGGCAGCGATCATCGTCAACTTCTTCATGAACACCGCTTCTGTTGCTGTCGAGTACTATGCCATTGCCAACATCTATAACGAGGACCCTGATTTGCAGGAGCCTAAGTCTATGCCAACGTCTACCCCCGAAACAACGGCAGCGTCGGTGAATCCTGGCAAAAAGGTCCTGAGTCACATCAAGAGGTCCGCGTCCGACTTCAAATTCTACTTTGGCCATCGCGCATTCTTGCCATCGTTTGCCTGCTCTCTACTATACCTCACAGTGCTGAGCTTTGGAGGCCAGATGGTCACGTACTTGGTCGCATCAGGTTTCAACACAACATACATCGGCATTGCAAGAACAATCAGTGTGGTTTTCGAGGTGTTGGCGACTTGGGTTGCGCCTTGGCTTGTGGGTCGAATTGGACAAGTTCGCGCTGGCCTTTGGATGAGCAATTGCCAGGTTCTTCCTCTGATAGGCGGCTTGGTGGCTTTCTGGGTCTTCATGCCGAACCCCCTCATATCGGCAACCAGCCTCGTGATGGGAGTCATCATCAGCCGTCTTGGTCTTCGCGGCTTTGACCTATGTACTCAAATCATCGTCCAAGAGGTAAGAAGCTCCCAGCCCATGGAAAGTCTTTGGTGTGAATATGTCTAACATGAGAATTCAGGAAGTCGAAGCCGAGAGCCGTGGCAGATTCTCTACAGTCGAGGCAGCCTGGCAAAATGCATTTGAGCTACTTTCATATATGGCGACCATAATCTTCTTCCAGCCTTCGCAGTTCAATTGGCCCGCACTGGTTTCTGTTGCGGCCGTGACTTCTGCAAGTCTGGCGTACACGCTGTTCGTATGGAAGAGGAGGGGGCATCTGATTCATTTTGAGAAGTTTGGACTGTAGCCTTGACCCTATCTACCTTCGCTAAACATATCACTGTATGATAAGGGGAATCTTAATAGAAACATAAAGCATAGGGGCATTTCTACCAGGAGTTGTAATTCTTCTAGAGACTTAAACTTTCCAATATTCAGAGTTTCGAGATTGATGTGCTTTGCTGGCTAATCCTCAACCATGATACCGCAGCAGAACCATACAGCTCCCTTGGGCTTCTCTAATATTGGTTTCATCGTCCCTTTTCCCACCCAAACACCCTAGACCGGGCAAAGCACGGGTCCTGCAAGAGACTGAGTGCAGGACTCTCCGACCTTGCCGATACAACTTCCGGAGGTGCAGTCTTTGACTATTCCATTCTGCGAGCAGACTCCAAATGCTGCGCAGACACCAGCCTATTCCATATTAGCGGGCAGACTCACGGCTCATCACTTGTAACATCCTTGATGGGAATCACGTACAGAAATGGGCATGGCGAAGGCCAACGCAGCAGCAGCAAAGGCAATGACACGCATGTTAGGCGGCTATCGGAACTGACTTGAAGTTGAGCTTTTGATTGAAAGAGAAGGTGCAAATGAGAGATTGGTGCGTTTCCGAAGCGAGAGACAAGGTGAGAAGAGTTGATGAGACTGCGGCGAGGAGATGTCCATCAACTCAAAGGGACACAACGTTGCCTTAAATACTATTTTAACTGGCTGCAGGCCGTTAAATGATTTGCATTATTCCTACAAATATTACAACTCGGCCGAAAGATGCTCTTTTCGTAAAGCTCATACCGAGAAACAACGGCAATGAGTCAAACTGTAGGACCCGAGTCGCTTGACTAGTCATGAAATTAATGTCTTTAGGTTCTCGCCAAGATCGTACAAAATCATGATATGTGGGTTTCATTCCAAGTTGAGTAGAATCATAAGCTGCTTGACTCTACTGGCTCTTGTACACGCGCGTAAAGCCGGACCTGAAATAGGATAATGCCGTCTTCCACGATCGTTCCAAGCGAGCCCATCAGCCACGGGAGGCTGGTAAGCAAATACTCTCTGTCTTGCTTGTACGCAATGACACTCATTCCATATGTCAGATTTCCGGAAATGGACAGCAGTAGGAACAGCGGCGCAAGACCTGTAAAGTTTAAGATCATATGAAATCACAAGCAGTAGGGGGGTTAAACTTACCTTCACATGACTTTCCCCTGTAGTTCTTAATGATTTGAGGGATCCGGGCACTGCATGCTTAGGTCAGTTGGTGCAACATTTTGCAAGTTCATCACCACATACCACAGATAGCAGATCGCGCCGATGACTCCTAATGCTGAGCCAACCGATTCGGAAATGCCTGGCAACTCCGTAACGCTCACGGCTCCAGGAGGACTCTCGCCGCCAAGCAAACCAAACTGGCGAAGCACGAACCATCCCGAGATCCCCAGGATAGCGACCATGACAAGACATGCCGCGTTAAATCGCCAGTCGTGCAGAGTGCGTACAGTGCTAATGTCGGTCTCCTCATCCTTGTCCACAACCTGATTCGAGCCGGGAGAGGCAATTTGGTAGTGGCTCATTGAGTTCACGTCTTCAGAAGAGTCTGCGGGTTCGAGAAGAGGTCGTCGCTCGGGAGATTGCGATCTCGGCGTCCCGGGCTGTACGAGGTTTTGAATCCGACGTTTTGAGTTGTAGTACAGGCACTGGCAAATGAGTGTAGAGTCGGAAAAGCAAAGGTACGTTGTCACAGCTATGCTTGCGGGCGCGATGCCGTTCGCCAAACCGCCTGTATCGTGCCAGGTAAGTACATGTGGTCTGCACATGCATCTGAAAGACTGCTCGGAAGAACATATCCCGAGATCAGGTTGGCTGGGTATATGCGTGTGGTCTTACCTAGTAAATTGGTAACATCCCCCAATAGCCAGATGAACAGAAATGCCATAGATAAGCTGTCTGCGCTCTTCAACTTGTAGTTTGCGGCAAGTTGGGGAATCTAAAAAACTGTCAGTATATTTCCCCAGAACTATTGAGAAAAGCGAGATATACCAAGAGGCAGAGAAATGCAGCCATGCTAATGCTGCCGAGTATCTCGGATGCGTCATCCCGCGAGATAGGGCTCTGCGATAGCGACGCAGGTCGTCCCAGATTGACGGCGGCCATGGTGAAAAACGAGAGGCGCTACGTCAAATTATCAGACCAAAGAATACGTCGGTATACATCGAAGTAGCTAGCAAACTTACCAAGATAATATCAACCCCAAGAGAGAGGAGTTTGCAGAGTGTCGCGAGCAGCAGCAGGACGCATAGTTATCCATGACGATAACAAAACTATTCCGTTATCTTCCGCTGAGTCATCTCGTGTGACTGTGTTCAGACGGCGGCGCTTTGAGCGGTCATCGGCATGCGGGTAACTCGGTTAGGCTTTATGCGCTTTTAGTGGGCGCGTAGTTGGTCACAGGGTCCAAACAGCGGTGTCTCATGCGCTTATCTTCTGCGCCCGACAACTAATGAAGGTCTTTATTGATGGGGTTGTGTCTAATTTTGCTTCTCAAAACACGCGAAAATAGGCAGTTAGCTTTCCAACTCAAAGGTACGTGTCTTGGGGCTGTTCTCAGTGTGCTTTGTAAACTGCGCATTCGAGAATTTTGTTGCTAAATTTGTAGAAGTATAAGAGGTAGCATATGAGCCGCTGAGTGAGGTGTCACATGCATCGTGTACACAAAGGATCCGCCACAGGGGGGTTGATAAGCGACTAGGAGCTCAAAGTGGAGAGACCAGGCGTGCCAGACTCTTGGTAACGACCTAGTTCCAAGGATAAGTCGTCCCCCGAGCTCTTCTAGCTTGGACCTCCGCTTCGGATTGATCGTATAATTCGTAGTACTGGGACAGAAGTTCTGTCAATTTCCCAGTGGTATCAGATGCTACGAGGTCCATAGTTCTGGTGCGACCACTTTCAGCGTAATTATCTCCCCTATCCTGCAGGCTGGAGGCGAGCTGTAACACCTTCTCGGGCGAGTCCTTCCAATAAGACTGTCGTAGTTGTGAATCAGTTTGAGATTCCTTCATCCTTTATCAACGCAATACATCAATGTCTGACTCCGAGAATTTCAGAGACTCACATCTGCTTGCAACGCAATGAATGGTGCTGCCCTGACCAGCTCCCAATCTTTCCTCGGTCTGTAAGATGTTGTAGAAATGCCATGGGCCTGACAGAGCAAATCTCTAGCCCTAGCTTCTTCCTTTTCAGACCCAAGCGGGGCGTTAAGAAACGCTTCATAGATGTTGCTGAACTTCCTGTCGTTGGCTAGATGAATCGCCTCACCTAGAGCTTTCTGGGTGTCTGCCATTGGCACCTGCTCCCAGGCAAACTCAGAGATCGCCACGTCAAATTTCTTCACGGCAACCTCAGCTTCGTTGCCTGCCTTGTCTCGCAAGATTTTCTAGATGACCATGTGTTCTGTCAGCTGACTAGAGCTCTAGGTGTATGTTGGAGCTGGAGATAGACTCGACCAACTTTGAGCTCACGATGCTGGTCATCGAAAACGTCTCTCTGTTCCTTGCTGAAGTCATGCACAGCCATTTTGACAAAATTCTGCTAATGCAAAAGCTGTCGAGGACTGACTTGCCTGCAAATCAACGAGGTCCTATTGATCTATTGAATCCCAAAAGTATTTCGTTCGAAAATGAGAAATGCCACAAACGCCTTAAGCGGGGAAGTGAGACCTTATGAGCTCAAGTGTTGTTGTTTGAAGCTAGTTCTCAACTGAGCCATCGCTCAAGGAACTATGACGTACTCTGCACTGACATGATCTTATGTTGCGACACAGATGATTAGCGAAAGCTAGACACAAAGCATCGAGCTATTGCCTTCGTGCGTTGTTAGGAAACCGCCCTCCCTACGCACATCAGGGACACAGGCTGGCGTCAATCTGAGGACGGTCACCGCAACAAGCACTCGATGTAATACCTATTGCAACTTCATGACGCTCGGCGATCAACATATAGCAAGATTTGGTAGAACATGGGTATCGAGACTCAATTACTGCGTACATCTAATCATCGCCTCAGAGACTAGGACAACAAGGTGACATCTCCAACCACGGGTCTGTGGTCGCTGATGAGCATGCCATTGACCAGGTTGTTCTGTATCTCGTATCGCTGGACCGAGTACTTCTTCGCGTCCTTGGGTCCAAGCCAGACAAAGTCGATGCGGCTTCCCTGCTTGGTCGTATCGAAGGTCGTGTAGGTTAACTGATTGGGGCCAATGCGCTGTTCAGGCGTAGCCATGTTATACAACTCCTCCATGAAACCCGTTCCTGTCAACGCCTTGTACCCATCACCGTTGGGGTCAGAGTTGAAGTCGCCAGTGAGCGACACACCCAGGGGACCGTATGTTGTCTGCACAGCTTGAATCTTGGACACAGCAACCTTGATTCCCTCGCTTCGAGCCTGCGAGCTGACATTATCCAGGTGCGTATTGGCGTGGATGAACTTCTTCCCGCTGGCAGTATGCTCGAACACGGCAATGGTTACGATGCGCTTGCTGCCGGCTCCCCAGCCAGACGAGACAGTATCTGGTGTCGGTGAGAGCCACTTTGTCTCTTCGTGGAGCAGCTTGAGGGCATCGGTACGGTAGAAGATGGGGTTGTACTCGCCACTCTTCTTGCCGTCGTCGCGGGCGACGCCGACGTGGGCCCAACCGGAGCCGAGTCCGTCCTGGATGTCGTTGAGCTGGTTATCGAGTACCTCTTGTAGGCCGATGACGGTGACGGCGCCCGTGGGTGCATTGGTGCCTATGCTCTTGATCGCGTCGATGACATGGGGCTGACGGCAGCGGTCCTTGGAGATTCCGCAGAGGAGATCCCACCACGGCTTTTCGCCGGATTCGCGTGAGCCGGCGTCGTATCGGATGTTGAACGAGGCAACACGGATGGGGAGACCCTGGGCCACAGCTACTCTGGCCAGGAGAATGGGTGCGAGAATGGTTTTGATCTGCATTTTGAAGCAAGAAACGAATGACTGGGGTAAGAGCAATAAGACTCGGTGCTGATCACAAATCTCGAACCACGATACCTACGACCGCCCCTTATATACTCTAACGATGTTTCTCTGCTCATCGCGAGAAAGGACACCGAAGTTACAGAACACAGCCCAATAAGGCAGTTGAATACAGGATTGACAGGGGTCTCCTCTAAGACGTCAACGTCCCGCGGGGTGCAGTGCCCCTCGCGAACGCCAAATCGACACGTGGGTAGCATCCACGCTGGATTTGATCTTGAGACGCGGATAATTATGCGGATAAGGATCAATAGCCGCTGCTTGCCCAGAGGCGCGATGTCATATTGGGCGGGATCTGCCAGATACATGCCCCTCCCTTGCAAAGAGAGGGGTCGCAAGTAACCTTAATGGCGAGCCTATTAAGAGCCAAGCCACACGGCCTCCCACGCCAGTCTGGTATTGATAGTGGCCGTCTCAGAGTCTTCTTTTTAAAGAGCGCTGAGAGTAGAAATAGACGCCTACAAAAAAAGACCGGACGAACTGCTGCGCTAGCAGTACAGGACTCATTACATAAACCTCGACCAAGTAGAACATTTCTCAGTCGTACTTCGTGACCGGTTTTGCCTACAGTGGTTGCCTACCTCTCATCTGCCCACTCGGTATTACCGCCCGTAACGTATATGCAAGGTATTATTCTCCTGAATGAACCACAATCCAACAAAACTCAAAGTATCAGGCCGGCCTTATGCTCCGAGGAAAGTGGGAAACGGAAAATCTCATCTGAATCAATCACGGGCTTGATGTCTTTGCCGCCTCCCGAAGTTTTTGCCCCCAATACATCCTCCGGACCTCTGCCTACGATGTGCGTATGACGAAGAGCTGGCGGGAGCCTCAACAACAAGTGAACTGATGGATCTCAGCTTGGAGATATCAGTATGTCTTCAGGCGCTTGTCAACTAGGCAATTACTGGGAGCTCATAAATGTTTTCATCTGTTCGTTTGCCAATTTCTACTTGACGGTTTGCCGTAGTGCGCTCAAGCAGATACTCTCAGCATCCTCAGCCCTACGACTGACCTTTATGTGATTTTCTGTTTGATCTTGAAGCTAAATGTTGTCACATTCCTGTAGCTTCTCGAGCTAGTCGGTGGTGTGCGAGGTTGTCAGACGACCCCGCAATATCTACAGCGATTGATGGAGGGTCGCTTGTAAGCCTGAACCTTCTCCATAAACCTTTCTTTCAAGCTTTTGAAGCGCGGTCTGATGGATTGTGGCATGTTCAGATCCTTAGTAGACATCTTGTATTCCACCCATCCCCGGAGCTGCTCGCAGTTGACTACCGACTTCGGTACCTCCCGCATGCAGGCAGGTAGTCGCTTGCTTTAGGGCTACAAGACTTGAACTATGATTCGGAGATAGCACCCTAGCTCTTCTTCCTTGGTTGAAGATCGAAACTAAACTCTTTGGAAGAGTCCGAAAGCTTCCATCCTCCTAGTAGCTGTCCATCCTCCACCAGAATCTGACGCCTTTGGAAGAGTCCGAAAGCTTCCATCCTCCTAGTAGCTGTCCATCCTCCACCAGAATCTGACGCAGCAGTTCACCCCTATTCTTTTCATAGTCAGACTGTCCATCATTCATACGCAAGTATGGCTTCATGGCCATTAGCACTTCTCGAATCCACTGCGCGGCCCTGTTCTCATCAATCCTACCCGCAGCTACCAGCTGACGCTTAACCTCTTCCAACCGCTGTCCCTCGTCGACATCCAAAGCAGCGCACATCACTCCAAGAAGAATGTGCGATCGCACTCCATAGTCCAAGTCGTTCATATCGATTCCTTCTGTCTCCTTCTCCATAAAAGCCGCCAGGAACGCAACCTCCTCTTCGCTTCCTAGCTCCGGCTCCCACCCTCTGCTGCGCGCCTGTTCACCCACCCCGCCGTCCGGCCACCCACACCAGCTGACCTCGCTCTCACGCGTCCCATCGAGGTCTGGCTCAAGATACGGCGAGTTGACAGTTTTCCATCGCTCCTGCGAGTAGTGTGCTTCCCAAGCCCACATATCGAAACGTCCCTGCGCGACGGAGATACCGAATTCATTGTAATTCCATTCCTCCTTCGACGACTTGCCAAAACATCCTATGTTCATGTACTTGAGCCAGAAGCGAGCTTGGGTCTCCGAGTACGGCTGAACATCTGTATAGTCCTCTCGTAAGCGTCCGATGGTCTGCTCGAGAGTGTTCAGGGCTATCTGAGTGATGGTCTCGACGAAAAGGGACGGCTGTCGTCGATGGGTGCGCACAACGTTATGTGCCCACCGCGGAAGCTTGGTTAGGTGGCCGTTCCCCTTGTGTCGTGGCTGCGCAAGAGGGTCACTTGAATCTGGTAGATCTTGCAAGTCGGGAAGCCGGTAGAAGCGAGCTGATATTGGCTGCGCGAGGAGAGTAGATGAGTAGTACTTTCGCCAGGCATTCTCGTCGAGTAGCTCGGAGTGCTGTGCATAGAATCCATCAAAGTCATCTGCCGTAGCGAACTCGCCCTCGCCCTGGTCTGAGAAGCGGTACATGGCGGCTGCTAGTTGAGCGAGATAGAATATGTCTAGAGTTCTTTTCATCATTAGCTCAATCTTCTTAGCCACATACTTTCTCGTATTCAACGACCTTACCGGTTAAGGCTCAAGTCTCCGTGACCAAATGACCAGCCGCGTGTGTGAAGTTGCTCTACAACATCAAACACGCCTCTGCCGTCCCATAATGCTTCATCCAAGTAAATGAATGCTATTCGCAGTAGTGGAATGTGGCTATCAATTGGTGTCCCCTGGCTTTCGACACTCTCGCGGAATTCGTCAGCACTCATGGCTCATAATCCCATCCTAACACCTCGAGTTTACGAGGTGTAGACATGACCGCTTCTAGGCGGCAGTCCTTCTAGTTTCTGCGGGGCGCCGGGAATACCCCCTCGCCTTACGTAAGTTCACGCCAGGCCTAGAAGTGACAGCCTTTGGTCAGGATAGGCATTTGGTAATCCCGTGTATGAAGGAGGTGGGTTTTAACACGATCCTGATGAACATTTAGTTTCAGACTCATATGGTAAGGCCACTGAGAAGCGGAACGAAATTGAAGAAGGCAACTTTCCGTTCTAGCGATTATTGAACAACACCAGCCGATCTAGACGTCTGAAAAATCCGTTCCTCCATTATTTGCGATACCTCAGCTTACAAGGCAGCTTCATATTGGGAAAGTGCGGATTCCAGAACTTGAATTTGATGTGTTTTTAGCGCTCTCACTATTTAGGTAGGCAGGCTTCTTAATACCTAAATGAAGTTGATTCAGCCTGGGATAGATGGGCCAGGAGAAGATAGTCACCTGAAATTTCATCGACAAAGCCTCGCTTCATGTTTGCAGAAGTCAAGCGATGCCTGCGGCTCGGATGCAATGAAGGTTGACACCACAATGTCCTGTAAGTCTTTGTGCCGTTATGCTATTGTGTTTTGAACATAGCGAAAAAGAACTGTGATCTGCAATTAGCCGCTTTTTGGCTATGTTAAACTCGCCTCGTTGTCCTGTGACCCCGGTAATGGGCTCCGTGACATTGCCTTATTAGGCATCTCGGAGGATGCGCTAGTCGAATTTGTCTCTGGATGGAACAATTACCAATGCATTTGGGCTTTACACTATCGCATTGTCGCGGCTGCTTGTGTCGGGTAAATGTTCAAACGCGAGTTTGCAAGACCTTCGGAACTGAGCCGGCAGTGGCGCTCGTTGATGATACGGAGACCTAAAACAGTCAAGAACCGAAGCTCACCACAATATGAACGCCAAGCAACGAGTTCTCCAAACCAAAACTTGATGCCTAGCACAATGGGAAACACATTGGGTCTCCTCGTCTGCCTCACAATTCTCCGAGGAGCTCTTGGGGCGACCCTGATTGCCTCGCACTATAGCGGGCAACTCTATACACTGAACTTATCGTCAACAAACCAGCTCACTATTGCGAGTACAGTCAGCTCTGGTAACCGCATGCCAGCATGGCTTGACTTTGACCCCGTGTCGAAAATCGTCTTCATCCCGGATGAAGTACAATGGAGCCAGCCACTTCTGAAAAGCTTCGCTATTTCAGCTGATGGAAGTATGATATCGAAGGCGCAAGCTCAGACAGCCGGAGGCGAGCTTCATAGTACGCTCTATGGACCTGGCAATGGCTACATCGCAACAGCACAATAGTATGATAATAGATCACTTCTCACGAGAAATGACCTTCGCTAACAATGATGTAGCGATGCATCGACAATTTCTACCTATGGACTCCCGTTGGGTGGTACAGGTCAACCCTTACAAAAACTCACATTTACCATGTCTCAACCAGGGCCGGTGCCATCTCGACAGGATAAACCTCACCCTCACTCTGTCTTCACAGATCCCAGCGGAAAATATCTTCTTTCTGCGGACCTGGGAGCCGATCTTATCCGTGTCTTCAGCGTCGGATCGTCACGCATTCTGACTCAATGTACCTCTTTCTCGACTGGACTCGGAGACGGACCTCGCCATGGAGCGTTTAGAACACAAGGCAATACGACATTTTTGTTCACCGTCAATGAGTTATCCAACTCTGTGACGTCTTGGTCGGTTACTTACCCGGCGACCGGTTGCCTTGTTCTTGCGAAGAAGCAGACCCTGTCGACATTTCCTCCCGGAAAGGCTGCGCCGGCTGGTTCGAAGGCAGCCGAAGTTCACGTCAAGGATAACTTTTTGTACACCTCGAACAGGAATGATCAATCTTTCGGGACACAACAAGATTCCATCACGGCCTACTCAATCGACCAATCAACAGGCCTTCTCACATATCTCGAGACCACCAGTGCTTACTCATTCTTCCCTCGAACTTTCTCGATCAATAATGCCGGGACTATGGTTGCTATTGGTGGGCAGACGAGTGCCAACGTCGCAGTTGTGGAAAGAAACGCCACTTCGGGTAGACTGGGGAAGCTTCTTGCAACTCTCAAGGTCGGCAATCCAGGGACTGTGAATCAAGAGGATGGTCTCAGCGCTGTCATCTGGAACGAGTGAGTCTCGCGTCATAAAGAGAGAGATCAACGGACACAAAAATATCGTTCCCTTCATTACATGTATTATCATGAAATCTAAGAATCTAGTATCCTCATCCAATATCATCATAAGTGGTATCTCCAAGTCCAGATCGCTTCTTCAATAACGCTTCAATCATTTCGCTTTGCAAAGCCGGTTCGCGTAGTCAACAACACTCCAATCTTCACTGCCCGGTGTAGACCAAGAGAAGAAGACGCCGTTGGGGTCCCACTTCTTCTTGATTGACGCCAGCTTAGGGTAGATCGGGCCCCAAAATGCGTCTTGCCAGTTCTTCATGAAGGCATAGTTCTGTCCACAAATATTAGTACTGATTGAATGATGTAGAACAGAGAGATGACTGGCTTACCTCGTTCACGTATGCAAGGCCGTTAGGACCAGCCTGCTTGAACTTCTCGGTGATGGTGTTGACCATCAGATCATTGAGAGCTAGCTTCGTCGCCCAGGTGGCATCCAGGGCCTGCGGCAAGATAGCCATGGTTCGCATGGTCGCGCCTCTCCACTTAGGGTGCGTTGCGCTTTCAGACTTCTTCTCATTACTTCCCGGATCAAAAAAGTGGCTGATAACGATGCCGAACTGGTTCGGGGCCGGTGCCAGCGCAAGTTGGATGGCCTCAGCGATGGCCGGCTGGTTGCTCGCCATGTCGTCGTGGGTAAAGACCCAACCACCCGTCAGACCATTCTGGGCCGCGCGTTCGGGTTCGAAGATGTCGTGGAAGAGAGTGTAGTAGTTGGGATACTCTTTGACTCCAAAGTCGTACGGAACCTTTTCGGTATCGAGGTACGTGAGAAGCGGCTGGACGACAGCTGTGAGCTGCTTGGCGGTCTTGTTCATTCCCATGATTGGCTGCACGTGCAGTGCTGGTCCGATCGCTGGCGGGTACAGCTCATAGATGCCGTACAGTCCGTTGTCTACCATTTGGTTTCCGAGCGCGTTGAGCTTGTTGACAGCCTTGGTGACTTGGTCGAAGTTGGCGCCTGTAGTAGCGTTGACGTTCAAGAAGAGGGCTGCCCCGGGAATGGTGTCGGGGTATGTCTTGACAGTGACGGATAAGACAACCGCGTAGTTGCCCGGGCCGCCTCCCCTGAGAGCATAGTATAGATCGGAGTTCGAGTTGGCGTTGGCGGTGACAAAGTCTCCGGCTGCGGTGAGAACTTCAAAGGAGAGTGCCTGGTCGGCGCCGAAGCCATAGTTGCCGCTCAAGGGGCCGTGACCACCACCTCCCATGAAACCACCTGCAACTCCCACTGTCTTGAGCATTGTTAGTTAGATAAGGCAGATAGGATGATACAAACTTACCTCGCATTCACCGGTGACCACATTCTGCGGTGGGTTTCTGGCATGAGCTGCGTTCGAGATCTCGTAGCCTTGAACTCCGGCACCGATAGTCATGGCAGGCCCCTTGTAGTCTCCGGGGCCTTTGTATGAATCAACGAAGGAAATGTCCTTGAAGTTGTGAGTGTTGATAGCCAAGGATCCAGCACCTGCACTTCTTCCCTCGAAATCGTGGCCCGTGTTGCGGATGACGAGGCGCAAGTTGTTTGACTTTGCAAAGTCCACGCCAGCCTTGACCTGAGCTTTCGTCTTGGCGATGATGACGAACTCAGGGTAGTTGCCGAGAGCGCAAGTCTTTGTGGGATCTGTGGTCAGTTCGCAAGTGTTGTTGCTTCCCCACGTCCACAGCTGCGATGCAGGTTGAGAGATTCTGATAGTTCACTGTTAGTACTGGACTTGGTTCTCCTCGACAGCCCGGTGCCATAGATGAGACTTACTGCCATCTCTCATCTGTCCATTTTGCAGTGGCCTCGGCGCACTTGGCAGCATCGTAGGTTGCGATGCCGCGATACGTGTTGTAGCAGACTGCAGCAGGCGGAATGTGCTGAAGGAGAGCTCCTCCCACGGTCTTGTTCAGTTTACTCCAAGCATCGGCTTTGGGCCAGCAGCTGTCGGCCGGAGAACATCTGCACTCGTACTTTTTGCCATTCTCCTCGTACGCGACGAGCTTTGGCGTTGAGATCGCACTGACAACCCAAGAAAGGCACGCCAGAAGCAAAACGTTGGCCATCGAAGTCCGGGTCATCTTGCTGGAAGACTTCTGCGTTTCCGTCCGATCGTAGTCGTCGTTGCTGTTGCTGCTGTCGACTACTGGTCGCTGGCCTGCTTCGAAAGCAAGCTGCTCCAAGGTCGTGCTCCTCTTGGACATTTTGTATTCGGGTTCGAGCTTGACACTAGTTTTCTCGGTGTGGTCGCCGAGCTGCAAGACACCGGCGCGAAGCTCTCTCCCTCGCTGTGTGAGAGGCGAATATCACCTAGCTGCATGGCCTGCGTTGTACTGCAGCGAAGCTAGTTGTTAGTCTCGTGGGAGGGAGGATCGGTAGTGAGATCTAAGTTGTTTCTCCGAGTGAAAGAAAGAGACAAGAACTCCCATCCCCGAACCTCAAGTTCTCCAGTTCTCAGTAGCCGAGCAGTCAAACGGGTGGTGGAGAATGGTAAGGTGTCAGCAGGGGGGGCCTTGGTATTAGCCGCCATCTGCTTGCTGTGTCAGCCACATCGGCGGCACGGAAGAGTCAAAGGAAGAAGAAAACTGTCGCGACAAGTAAATCGGAGCGATAACTGAGTGTGGATAGCTAGCGCGTATAGTAGCATCGACGGCGTGGTGCGAGTTAAGATCATGCGATTAGTCGGGGTCCAGTTCCATGACTTGGAGCAACGCCAGTGGCTGTGGCAACCTGCCGAGAGACGTTGGGGTAAGA